CCCCCCCCTTTTTCTGGGGCATTCCTTCTCTCATCTGCTTACTTCTAGCAACCCCTCTTAGCTTTTACTCCTATTAAGACCAGTATCACACTTAGAAATAAGCTTTGAACAACGTATGAAAATTAAGCATTGTCTTCTTACCCATCCTCCTTGCTGAATGATATAGTCTGCAGAATAGTCTTCTAGATATGTCACCCCGAAGTTCACAAGCGCGCTTAGTGGTTCCTGGCCCCGTCTGGTTAACTCCATCAGAAATTGTTGTAGCAGAACCAGGGGTACCAAGACCTTAAAAAAAACAAGAATTGTGAATAAATGCAGAAAGCATTATCAATACTACTATGCAGGTGAAACAGGAGAATTCATGTGGTCCACAGAAAAGGTCTGAATCTACCAAGTCCAAAGCTATCAGGGACCATACACTTCATTTTTGTGAAGACACAGAGCAGAAACACAATACAATTCAGTAAGAAAGAAGCACTCAATCTAATAAGCAAAACACCACAGCCTAAATTGAGATTTTCACAGAACAGGACTGCAGTGCTCTCTTAAGCCCCATTTTTTTCAAACACAATAATCAGGTAAAGAACCAGGACAGGTCCAGAACTTGCTACCTGGTAAGTGGAAAGATGCAACATTATAAATAGCTTGAAGGGATATGCATTCAAACTGTATTTCAACAGCAAACTCATACCCGTTCTTAAATAGATACACTGCACTAAACAGTCTCTTCAGAAGTTCACACCTGGCTTTCAGACAGGACAGAAAGAAGCAACTCCCCCCAGCAGCATAACATTACAGACATGTTTAAAATAGCAAACACAAACCCCTCTCCATGTTACTCTCCCTCCTATGCCAAATTTAACACGTACAGAATTCCCTCCCTCATTTCCTACTACCATTCCTCCTTCCAAACACTCAGCCTTAACCCAAATGTGAATTGCTCTGTAAGATGTAGTAGCACTCTGTGAACCCACCTCCTTCGTATTACGCAGTTCCAGACACTTCCTTCTGAAACTATGTTTTTGTTTGCCTAAACAACATGCAGTCGAACATTTAAACTCTAAATTTATTCTCCCAGAGCACGCAAGTGGCCCTCTGGGCAAAGTTTATATGCAACACTTTGCCAAGTTCAGGAAACTGGTATGAATTGAAGTCATTAGCATCTGAAAAAGTGATATTATGATACAAGAGAAAAATATTTGTATGTTTTACTGCACCTAGTTCGTGACAACTGCATTGCACATCTACTCACTGTGCAAATAAGAATATTGTTCCACAGCTGCACAAGGCAGATGCTGGCCAATACTACTGCTCAGACTGAAGTCCAAATGCTTCCTTCCTTTCCCAGTCTCTTCCTCCTTCAGCCTGATCTTCTTTTCTGTAAACATCCTCCATTATACTATTCTGAGAAATCACACCTTAGGATGCAAGGCTGGAGGAAGATGGAAAAGTAGGCTGGGTTTTGAGATTTGTACTAAATCTATGGTGGAGTCACACTGAGATGGACTGCTAAAAACAGATGGGGGCTTAATAATGCCTGTAATCTGCTAAATTTAAGATGTTCCAGCTGATTAACAACTGAGAATCCAATACAATGACAGACGGGTTACAGTACCGTTCTTCTGGGCTGCACAGTTAACACTGTAGTCACTTAACTAGGAATGAGACAATGCTTCAATTTCAAAAGCCTTGGGGGTTTTTGAGTTTCTTGTAATTAATCTCAACTCAGAGGCAGAAGAGGTGCAAGCTTACAGTGCACAAACATAAGGAGTAGGTCAAGGTGAGGGAAGTGTCAGAAGAAATGTCAATCTTTTTGGATCAAAGGAAAAAAAAAGCACGCTGTCAAGACTAGGCATCTTTCAGAGGCTTTGGGCACACCCACTCTACAACAGCATGAACATTGAGATCTCAAAATATTTGACATTTACTTTAAGCTGAAGGCAAAAGAAACAAAGGCAAAAAAAGGCAGCTTAGGAAATGAAGGGAGCTCAAATGTTGGCATATTGAACATGATTGCTGCCTCCTTCCTTTGCCAATTTAAGTATCTAATCCATCCACTCCTCCCAAGTTTAGCAAGCCTCCGCAGGCCTCAGAGCAAAGGATCAAATTCAAGCTCTAATATCCAGTCCCATGCAGCCCAACAAACACAGCCTGGTTTTCCTTTCCCACCAAAATTGTAGACAATTCCACCTTTGAGACCAGTAGGAACAGGAACAGGTTTGCATGATACTATCCCTAAATTCATGAAAGAAATTACCGTCACAATACTTCCGTAAAGGTTAACAACAGCTTTCTGTATGTAAGAGTAGCTATGTGAATGGTGATAAGATTTAACTAGACCAAAGTTAAAATATAGCCGTAGCAATTCCAAGCAACTGCACTTCCCTCCACTAGTATGCCTAGGAAGGAATGCTAGGGGCTATTTATATTTTGATTGAAGAAAAACATACACAATATCAAGCACAGCATGCCAGAAAATAGTTGGCAGGAGAAAACTTCTAGGGAATCAGTAAAAAAACCCCCACACTTTACTATCAGAAGATTTCTGATTAATTGTGTAAGTGAAAGAGTTCTGTCACTTATACTATTTCAACCCCATAGTACAATATTACAAATTTAAATGTATGCCAAAAAATTACAAAGAAAGTTCAGAGACTTTGAAGAAGCTATATCCAAAGTAATTGCCACTTCTGTGTACCTTTTGACTACTTCAGCATAAAATTAATCTAATTTTTTATATTATTATTTCCTATATTTTGTTGTATTATTCGTTGGCTCCATTGATCAGTGAAAATGGGACATCAAGATGATTGCTAACCTACTTACCGGTTCAGTTGACCCTCAATATCAGTATTTATTATCCTTTTATCTGATGTACAACAGTGGGATTATGTATTTTGGAGTATGTATATAATATTCAATTTTAAGCAAAAAGCAGAAAAACTCAACAATGGAGTATTTGATTTTTTAAAATTTATTTTATTTTATTACAGAAATATAATTTGCTCTAACTTTGAGGCAGTTTTGGTTTTGTTTTGTTTTGTTTTAATGACAGCCTTATTTCAAACACAAGGTGAAGACTCCTCCTTTTCTTCACAGAATCCAACATATTCAGAATCCAACATCCAACACCTACTATTTACACATCACAGTTTCTGGGATGAATACATGAAATCATTTATTTTCCTGAAATTTTTTTACTGAGAACCAGCACTTCTAATGTCTGTGGGTAAACTTTGCTTCTGTGGGTTGTTAATGGAAGAACTGATGTTCCTATGTATTAGTTTACCCTGAAATATTTCCTCATTCAGATCGATATTCATGTTTTAGTGACCAAAAACATTCCTTTACATCCCATGCGCTAGTCAGCTAACTAAATCTCTTCAGGAGTTCAAACATACCACTGCACTCTGGAAAATGTCCACATTTTTAAATGGAAAAAAATAACAGCTATATTTAGAAGCTCATTCTTTCTGCTCATGCTTGTATAAGGAATAGGTTCTTTGAAAACTGGTGTGACTAAAAAAATTACACCTTCCCAACTGGTTTACAGTTTACAAGCCTTTGCCCACAGTCAACCTCCAATGAGCTTGCCAGCCAGGTAATCCCAGAAGTCTGTGCTTACCTGTGCATGCCATGTCTCTCATACACATAACACCAAGGAAGGTTTGCAAAGACTACTTTGAGTCCACTTATGCCACAGAGATATTGGGCCTTTAAGGGATCAGCGTGGCACTCTGAGTGCATCTCATTCTATATATTAAAGAGCTGGGGCTTTTATACATACATACATATAATAATACACACCTACAACAGCAAAGGCTCAGAAATTAAAAGTGAGATTTTTAGGTACTAGTTCATAGGCTACTGAAAGCAAAAAGAACATCTTGCTGTGCAAGATGCCACTACTGAGCACAACAGATAGAGCTTACACATAACTGAAAACACATTTCATCTACTAGCTTCAGTTGCTTTATTTCTTCTAGTCTGGATCAAACCACAAGCCTCAATCACACAGAACTCTGTCTGTGGGAAGGCATTTCCACATTTTCACCCCTTTTGACATCTTCCACAGCTACTGTGCATCTTCAATTTCAGCTCCACCCAAGAAACTATAGGATATGTAAGGCCCGTGAGCATGTAACAGGGAACGATTTATTAATCTGTTCGTCTAGCTCTGCTAGTTGTACATTTTCTTATTCTGTAGTCATAAAAGGGAGCAAGCTTCACTTCTCCTGATAGAGTCAATTTAAATATACATCCTTCAGATTTTCACAAACTTGAGGCCAGCCTCATTTTGCTGCTATACGCCTGCTAATTAGACCTAACGCTATGTCCATTTATAGCTACTTCTAAAAATTCTTTTTCTAACAGTTTCTTCTTTAGAGTGAAAATGAAGCTAGGTTGAGGTTGGAGGAAAGGTATCTTGATCTCTTCTGTTATAAAATACGATTCTGATTAAGATGATGAAGGAATTTAAAAGGAAATGAAACCAACATAAATGTATTCCATTTCCTCAAAACAAGTATTATTAAAGGAACTGCTAGGCATTCCTGATGCATCAAACTACCACAAAAACAATACAAACAGATGCTGTCCTATCTACAAAATTTCCATTCCGGTTTGCTTGTGGACTGTAAGTTCTGTAGCAACAAATGTTACGGGTAAGCAAAGATGATGACAAAGACATCTTCTGGATGATATTCTCAATCACAAGCTAATGGGGACCAAAATTCACTAGCCACAGGGGCTGCACAAATGTGGCACCAATGAAGGCTGAACCATAGAACCCCAAATGCAGCTGATCCCATCTACCCAGGGCTATGCCTTCAAGAGGTGTGTACCAATAGCATATGGAGACACAGTAGGGAACTCACAAGCTCCATCTACCTCCTCCCTTGCCAACTGATCCACAATGACTGGTTTTATGCTTGTTTTTACTTTTCACCAACTGAAAAGTAAAATGTGCTAGCTTAAGCCACCTTCTTAATCATCAGATGTCATGGTTATTTAAACTAAAATGCTATGAATCACAAGATGATAAACTGAAAGCACACACCAATAATAATTGCTGGAGCCATGGGCAGTAACTTGTCAAGCAGTGTTTAATAAACTGCGTTAGAAGTGCCCACACCCTTGGTTAGATGATCACTTTCTGAAGTAAGCAGCGAAATCTAGTTAAGGAAAAGTATTTCTGGGAAACCAAAATGTAAAGAGGGAAAAAAGATGTCTTGTTCCATTTTAAACTTCAGACTAAGTTTTAACACACAATTTGCGATTAAATTTGCAAACAGTTATTTCATTCTTCCATTCTTTTTCGGATGTCCACTGAACCCATCAGAAAGAGATTCAGATGATGGATGTGAATGACGAATGAAAGATGGATCTGGGAACGCTAATTCTACTCATTCTACATTAAAACTATTGTACGATAGTCCATTTAATAGACTTGCGTTTTGTTTTAAAAAGAAGCTTACAATTTGAGATATCTACTTCTGAAAGCAGGTAGGCACACCATCCTTATGTTTTCTGAACAATTTAAATATTGTGAAGATACTATCAATTTTTATTTTCACCATGCTTAGTACTTTTTTTACACATATTTTGAGCCTGAGGTGGGAGCAAAGAAATAGTAGAGAAATGCTATGAAAATATCCATCTCAGATTTCATTACCAAACTGCTAAAACAATAAATATCTCTTGGGAATTTAAGTATTTTTAGTGATTATTGTTAAACAAAAAAAAGTCAAGCAACAACTAACTTTTCTTTTTACTATAATAAAGGAAGACTGACCCAATACTTCCATTAGATAACTTCTGGCTAAATTGTCTAAAAACTACATATTATGTCCACATCTACTATTCTGAGAGCGAAAATTATGTCATAGTAAAAACAAGTGTGTGCTTTTGATTCTTTTTCCTTCTGAAGCATAACCATACCTCGTAAAAAACAGCATGGACATCAAATAGATACAAGAGATCTCAAAGTGAAAGTCACTTATTTAGTACCTTGTTCCATCCACTGGCATGAGCAGCTGTCTCTTGTGTCCGCTCTCGATATTCTTGATATGTCACCGGCCTGCAGAAGTTAAACCAACACTGAAAGTTATAAAAGGAAACAAAAGAACATGAATAAAATAAAATTCTCAGCTTCCAGAGAACAAATTTTTTCACCTGTATTACAGATAATTTTCAAGAGCTAACAAGTCTCGCATTTCAGGAAATAAACAACCAGCACCAAACAGAATCAGGAAGGCACTACCTTCTCCCAGTTATATAATTTCATATAATTGATTAAATGAATTACATAATAATTTGACAGTCTACAGCTTAAAGGACATTAGATAAGTAGCTTTGCTGATATGCTACCAAAATTTCTAAGCTCTTCCATATAATTTTTTATAGTTTTAGACTTTAGAGATAAAAAAATTCCATTGAGAATTTCACATGTGAGATAGAGGTCAACGGAGAGTAAAATTTTTATAAACAATATAGGCTATGAACCAACACAGGCTGCTTGACCACATTATGTTACAGTTGAAGTTTTTATTTGCAAGAAACAGAACTTTTCATCACAAAACCTCCTTTGTATTTCAGTAGATACCTCTACTTCAGATTCATCGCATCTCTACTTCTCTGAATTTGGTGATGAAATTCCCCACTTCC